TTTTTTTTTTTTTTTTTTTTTTTTTTTTTTTTTTTTTTTTTTTTTTTTTTTTTTTTTTTTTTTTTTTTTGTTCTGAAAAAATTGAGATTCGTAAATAATACACACATACTTGTAGTTTGATGTTTCTGATTCAATATGACGTTAATTTTGGAAGACAGATGGGTTGTGTCGTATACCCCTAAAGAGGGCAGCCATGGAAGGGTGGTGGCAATTGTTTGGACACTTCTGCTTCTGTGTTTAGTTACAGCAGAAACCCTAGTTGGGAGGGAATAATACCAACCTGTAATCAGGTATATATATATATATATATATATAGCAAGAGTTTGGAAGGAACTCCTTAGAAACCCTATCAAACAAATACGGATTATAATTAATACAATTCCTCTTTGTAACCGTCCAGATCCACAGCTTTATTGTTCTTGTCTTGTCCTTGGATAATCTTTTCCTAGGAGAGGTTTCCTTTAATCATAAGCCCTCGGAGAATAAGGAGAGGTTTCCTTTAATCATAAGCCCGAGGTTTCCTTTAATCATAAGCCCGAGGTTTCCTTTAATCATAAGCCCGAGGTTTCCTTTAATCATAAGCCCTCGGGGAATAGGGAGAGGTTTCCTTTAATCACAAGCCCTCGGGGAATAGGGAGAGGTTTCCTTTAATCACAAGCCCTCGGGGAATAGGGAGAGGTTTCCTTTAATCACAAGCCCTCGGGGAATAGGGAGAGGTTTCCTTTAATCACAAGCCCTCGGGGAATAGGGAGAGGTTTCCTTTAATCACAAGCCCTCGGGGAATAGGGAGAGGTTTCCTTTAATCACAAGCCCTCGGGGAATAGGGAGAGGTTTCCTTTAATCACAAGCCCTCGGGGAATAGGGAGAGGTTTCCTTTAATCACAAGCCCTCGGGGAATAGGGAGAGGTTTCCTTTAATCACAAGCCCTCGGGGAATAGGGAGAGGTTTCCTTTAATCACAAGCCCTCGGGGAATAGGGAGAGGTTTCCTTTAATCACAAGCCCTCGGGGAATAGGGAGAGGTTTCCTTTAATCACAAGCCCTCGGGGAATAGGGAGAGGTTTCCTTTAATCATAAGCCCTCGGGGAATAGGGAGAGGTTTCCTTTAATCACAAGCCCTCGGGGAATAGGGAGAGGTTTCCTTTAATCACAAGCCCTCGGAGAATAGGGAGAGGTTTCCTTTAATCACAAGCCCTCGGGGAATAGGGAGAGGTTTCCTTTAATCACAAGCCCTCGGGGAATAGGGAGAGGTTTCCTTTAATCACAAGCCCTCGGGGAATAGGGAGAGGTTTCCTTTAATCACAAGCCCTTTCCATCAAAAGCCCTCGGGGATTATGGGTCAGAGCAATAACAAGAAGCCCTCCCTCAGGGAATAGGGAGAGATTTGAGAGGTAGGATTTCACCATCCACGCCTTTTTACTATTTTTAATATGAAGGAGTAGTTGGGCAACCAAAGCAATTCCCTATTCCTCCCAAAATTGAATTATTGTTCGAACTATCCCTAACTATGATTATTAATTTAATAAAGCCATTGCTTACGGACTACTTGTCACATTAAAAGAAAATAAATTAATAATTCAATACGCCTCATCACGTACCGGATGAGTCCACTTTCATTGAATTCAAATATGTGGTCGCATAAGTTAAGTCCCCACTAAATAGATTTAATATATGTACATATATATATATATATATATAATGGTCATGGATAGATTTAATTAAATAAAATCATAGCTAATTAATTTGTTTTCTAAGAGGCTAATTATTTTGGAAAAAAATATAATATTTCAACAACCCCGCTTTTGAATTAAAAAAAAAGTAATGACGTGGTATTTGCCCTCTGGTCCCCGTTCTTATCGCTTCCCTCTATCTCCCGTTTATTTCTGTCGCTTGCATTACACGTGTCATCCATTGAATGGTACTATTTTACCGCACCGACGAAATTGTTCTTGTTGTCAACTATAAATACCGTCCTCCGAAACCCGTTCTATCATTCTGCGTTCGTCAAACTGTTCTTTGAATCGATCGCCTTTTAACTCTCTCAAGGTCTGTCTGTGTTTTCTTTTTCTTTTTTTTTTTTGTTTTCTCTTTTTTACTTGTTTCTTTATTATTCTCCTATTTTTTGTGTACTTCTGATTCCCATGCGTTTTTGGTTCTTTGTTCTTGTGAATTGCTCTATTGTTTTTTCTTTTTGGTCTGCCGATCTTAGTCTTTACGCGATATCGGGAGTCTGAACGATTCATTATACGATTATAGTTGGATTGAGACATTTTAGGGTTCCGATTCAGTTATATTTTTCTCTAGGCTTTAGCTACTGTATGGTTCTTGTGATTTTAGGGGAAGGAGTTCTTAATTTCTTGTTTTCGTTCTGGCAGATGCAAATCTTCGTTAAAACCCTAACCGGCAAGACCATCACCCTTGAGGTCGAGTCTTCTGATACGATCGACAACGTGAAGGCGAAGATCCAGGATAAGGAAGGAATTCCTCCGGATCAGCAACGTCTGATCTTCGCCGGCAAGCAACTCGAAGATGGCCGTACCTTGGCCGACTACAACATCCAGAAGGAGTCGACCCTTCACCTGGTCCTCCGTCTTCGTGGTGGCATGCAAATTTTCGTCAAGACACTGACCGGCAAGACCATTACGCTTGAGGTCGAGTCGTCTGATACCATTGACAACGTGAAGGCGAAAATCCAGGATAAGGAAGGCATTCCCCCGGACCAGCAGCGTCTTATCTTCGCCGGAAAGCAACTTGAGGATGGCCGTACCTTGGCCGACTACAACATCCAGAAGGAGTCGACTCTCCACCTGGTACTCCGTCTTCGTGGTGGTATGCAAATCTTCGTCAAGACCCTGACTGGTAAAACCATCACACTCGAGGTCGAATCCTCTGATACCATCGACAATGTCAAGGCCAAGATCCAGGACAAGGAGGGGATCCCCCCGGACCAACAAAGGCTTATATTCGCCGGGAAGCAACTAGAGGATGGTCGTACCCTTGCCGATTATAATATCCAGAAGGAGTCGACCCTCCACCTTGTGTTGCGTCTTCGTGGTGGTATGCAGATTTTCGTCAAGACGTTGACCGGCAAGACCATCACCCTAGAGGTGGAAAGTTCGGACACCATTGACAACGTCAAGGCTAAGATCCAGGACAAGGAGGGAATCCCACCAGACCAGCAGAGGCTGATCTTCGCCGGAAAACAGCTGGAAGATGGAAGGACTCTGGCTGACTACAACATCCAGAAGGAGTCAACCTTACACTTGGTGCTCCGTCTCAGGGGTGGGATGCAGATCTTCGTGAAAACCTTGACAGGGAAGACCATCACCTTGGAGGTGGAGAGCTCTGACACGATTGATAATGTGAAAGCAAAAATTCAGGACAAGGAGGGCATCCCTCCGGATCAGCAGAGGCTGATCTTCGCAGGGAAGCAGCTGGAGGATGGAAGGACCCTCGCTGATTACAACATTCAGAAGGAGTCCACTCTTCACCTCGTCCTGCGTCTCCGTGGTGGTTTTTAGACGGTGTTGTTGTCGGTTTGGGCATTGTGCTTCTCTTCTTGAATGCTTTCTAATATGTTAAACAGCGGCCAGTAGGCCTTATTATTGCTGTCAAATAAAATCGATTTCTCAAAATGTTGTGTTTGTGTTTATATGGATTGTACTTGTTTCCAATGAAATGAACTTCCGAATTGTGCATTACATTGTGGTATATTCACTGAGTTATGATCATTTCATTGTTATGTTCTTGTGTTCCGGCAGATATCATTATAACATTATAATGCATAGACGATTTCATGCTTTGCCCTAATCGATAGGGCCAGCCAAAGGGAACAAAGCAACGATGGAAATATGTCTAACATCCCCTGCAAGTGAATGATCCTTTGGTAAGACCGTGAGATAGGCTTGAGGACTCTGAAACCACTGTGGTGAAGGCAACGCCTTTGTCATAACATCAGCAAGCTAGAGGTTGCTGAATTTTAATAAATAAAGCTAAGCACACTGTTGACGAAGAGTTCGATTCTGCAGGTTTTTGTTCTAACAGGCGCAGAAGAAGAGAAAATCAGGAGTCGTGAGGTTTCATTTGGTGCAATTCCAATTACAAGATTTCTGGTTCAACCGAGTGAGAAAGATGAAAGTTCGTCTGAGACACTCCAATTTTCAGAAGTGGGAACTAATGTAATTTCAAATATCACTAAAGCCACGTATGTTCATAGTTTAGCATACATCAATTTTCCCAATTTTGCTGATTTAGAAGCATTTCTTCGACTTCATTCGTCTCGGACTTATTTTATAACAATGATGGTTCAGTGAACATTCTAAAATAAAAATGCTGCGTAAATAATTTATATTGTGGTAATTAAATAATTTAATGACATGCGACCATAACGAGAGCGTCGTGAAATAGATTTCTAGACGACATAGAGAATACAAGGGTTTGGGTCATGATGGCTACGTTTGGGGCGTGCTCCCCTAGCTCAGGTGGGAGGGTAAGTCTTGGGCCGAGTTCGAAAAGTGGGTGAAGTTAGGCCCCTGGAAGGATAGCACATAACCATTGGGCAAGTTGTGTTTTGTTGTGCTTATGCTCCAAGTCTCAGAGACCGAGGAAAGATCCAATATTCATTCTAAAAACACGAACAAGTCAGCGAGTCAAGCAAACAACCAGTCTGATATTCGGGTCGTCATCTAGACGATGCAGAGATTAAGTGAGAGAGAATGTCAGAATCAACGATACAATTGTGTGCCCTCAGGAAAGTCATCGAGGACAACGACTAGGTTAAGTGGAAGAGAATGCCACAACTTTATTGAAAGAAAATAGATTGTGACCCCCCCCCCCGCAAGACGACAAGGGGCGACCCTTGACCTTTGTGACACTTGCATGTGCGCACTCATTGACTAACTTCCAAATTTCAAAGATCCATTCAAATGAGACAGTAATCACACCCGGAGGACGGGCTGAAAAATAGCCCCAAAAAATCTGAACCATAATAGCCTATCACTTGCGAAGGATCATACACAAAGTGCAAGTACAAAAGAATTTCCTACGGCTATAGCTCCATCTAAAAGGAAAATGCGTAGAATTAAAAGGTGCATCCAAGACAAAGCCACCTGAAGTCATCAAGCAGTTCTGGTATATCCATTATATGTACCAGAGCAGAAAAGCCATTAACAATAGCTGATTGTCAAATAAATCCTATCCATCATGACAGAATCTGTCAACTCAAGATCGATATGTAGGCACTATTTGGAAAATACCTAAAAAACAATCAGGAAAGGAAGTAGAGCTTTATAATACATAATTCTCATAAAACAAACAAATGTTAATATTGAGTTGAATTACACTTGGAGTCAGATCAGGAAATAGAATGAACTATCCAGTCATTTACCATATAGATTGATGCCAGGACGAAAAGTACATCAGGATCAAAGTACATGTTATTAACCCTTGATGATGAAGTTACAAGTCGAATATCAGTTCTGGCTTCTAATTACACGTTGCTCTGTTTGTAAAGCTTGGTGTCAAGTACTTGCTTCCCACACATAGCACAAACCCCTGCCAAGCACAACGCGAATATGTCACACATAAATGCATTGTAACCACATGTGCAGATATCAAAACGAAAGTAAATTTCCATTTGCAATTCATACCTTTGCTGTAAGCACATGTGTGACAATACTTGCCATCCTGGTGTACTTGCTGCTTACAAATTATGCACTTGGTGTTTCCATAAGGAGTCCACCTACAGGCAACAACATTCAGAATAGAAACTAGACTTGCAAGCCTTTACATATGATGTACTTAATTGAGGACTATGTTATTGACAAACAGAACATCATATAACACGGAATAATTCAATGAAGATGGCTTTTACTTTAGAACTCGGGAAGGAGCCAGAGGAGAGCTGGGTTGATCAGTTCGACATCAGAGATCTATTAATCATATGTAATGCAAAGAACAGCATCATATACCCAATTTAATCTCCTTGATACAAGATCTCATTCAATGAGGAACAGGGAAGTATAATGCGTACACATTACATAACATTTACTGATTGCCTTGACATCAAGGATCGATTAGTCATTCATATGCGAAGGATGACAATATCATATATCTAGGTTAATCTCCAAATTACAAGATCTCATTCAATTAAAACGTTAAGTAGACATTACTACTCTTTATCTCCAGAATTAACTCCTAGATAAAAGATCAACTTGGTCTCTAGATTGAAGTCAGAGCACATACGATCGTGTACACGAACTTTGTAAAATAAACCCTAATTCATAATTCTGGGTTAATGTTTAGACTGAAACGGAGAGATACTCCACTTCTTTCCCGCATTTGAGAAAAAATAGAACAATAAAGGACGAACATGAACCAGTGAAGGGTAAAAAAGCCCTAAATTGAAATTAAAATGTCAATTTAATTGAAAAGCTCAAATACAGAAGAAATAATTGAGAAGAACAAACCTTTTCTTCTTGGAGAGGAGCTTGTTTTCGTTAATTTTACGGCCACCGCTTTCTTGTGTGTTGCTTGCACCTTCTTTCCACTTATCCGGTACTATCACCTTCGATAGCTTCTTTTCACCTACATCCACAACTCCCAACAACTCAGTAACCCGCAAACTAACAGCGAAATTTTTCATAGTCAGGATTCGTAATAAATTGACAGAAGCTAGTGATGCAAGATGAGAGAAAGAGGCTTACACTTCTCGCAGACCATGGTTGTCGCTCCAAACTACTTGATCAGGAGATGCTGAAATCGAATATACCAATGAAAGTAATCGGAGCCCTAATTGGAGACCCTGTGGAGGAAGAGATTTCGACAACTTTTCGTCCAAATTGTAAAAAGGAAAGAGGAGGGTCCAAAATTTATACCAATAAATTGGTTAATTTTTAAATTTTCCCAAAAAAAAAAAAAAAAAATAATTAATTAATTAAATTAAATTAATTTAGAAGTTAATGAATGAAAATTTAGAACTGATATTTTTAGGTTAAATTAAAAAAATAAAAATAAAAAAGATCTCAAAAAGTCAAGAGTGGTTCCCTAACATACTCCGGCTTCGTCTACCCAATATATATATCCCCTCTGCACAAACCCCGTCGCGCTTCTACCAAAAAGAAATGGCGACTTTTTCCAGTTTCCCGCACTCTCTCCTCTTAGCTCTCCTTCTCACCGTCGTCGCTCAAAATTCTGTAGCATCCTCTGGCCCCGATCTAGTTGCAGAGCTTCTCGCCCTCCAATCCCGATCGGATTCGGGTGTGATCCATCTCGACGACCAGTCAGTCTCCCGTTTCCTTTCGTCACCGAAAAGCCCTAGACCTTATTCACTCCTCATTTTCTTCGATGCCCTACAGCTTCACGACAAGTCAGAGCTCCACCTCAAAGAACTCCGCCGTGAATTTGGGCTTGTTTCGTCCTCCTTCATCACCAACAACCCCGATCCCTCTTCTTCTTCTCGCTCCAAATTATTCTTCTGTGAAATTGAGTTCAAAGAGTCCCAGCCTAGTTTCTCCCTTTTCGGCGTTAATGCTCTCCCCCATGTCCGTTTGATTGGCCCCAATCAAACGCCCAAGAAGTCCGACCAAATGGACCAGAGCGACTATTCCAGATTGGCTGAATCGATGGCGGAATTTGTAGAGTCGAAGACGTCGCTTGTTGTTGGTCCGATCCATCGACCCCCAATGTTTTCCAAGAATCAAATTACCTTTCTTGTCATTGCGATGTTAATTTTGGCGCCATTTGCTTTGAAAAAGATCATTGCGGGTGAGACGTTGCTCAACGACCGGAAGGTCTGGCTGATTGGGGCGATATTTATCTACTTTTTCAGTGTTGCGGGTACAATGCATAACATTATTCGGAAAATGCCCATGTTTATGACCGACCGGAACGATCCCTCCAAGCTGATATTCTTCTATCAAGGCTCAGGAATGCAGCTTGGTGCGGAGGGGTTTGCTGTGGGTTTCTTATATACGATTGTTGGCTTGCTTTTGGCTTTCATTACCCATGTGCTTGTCAAGGTCAGGAATGTGAACACGCAGCGGGTCGTCATGTTGGTTGCGCTATTTGTGTCATTTTGGGCAGTGAAGAAAGTCGTGTATTTGGATAACTGGAAGACAGGTTATGGAATTCATGGATATTGGCCATCAAGTTGGAATTGATTTCAAGAAGAGTGCCTTTTCTGTTTAGCTGAATGTGAGAGAAGTTCTCGTCCATGAAACTGGTAGCTGTTGAAGTTAAATTTTGTTGTTTTAACCATACGACTTTGGTAAGATGCTGCTTTATGAATGACGCTCAATTCTTCTTGAAGACTATTTATTGAAGTACTTTTTGACGTTAATTAGATAATTTTGCATTCCACAGTTCATTATTGCAGGTTTGAGTGATAATCAACTCTCTTTTGCTGTTTTTTTCTTCTAGTTTAATGCTTCTCTATACATTTCCTTACCTTACTCTCCGAGTATTACGTTCTCTTCCAGAAAAATTACGAAATTCTCTAGTAGGATCAACTCACATTTCTGAATTTGTGTGGTTGGTAGGCTAGTTTGTTCCTTCTTTTCTTTTGATGAGCAAATGCAATGACAGCGCATATATATTTTGAATATGTTATGTCGTTGTTTCACCCTCCTGGTTTCATAGATTATTTTACACTAAATTGATGTTTTAAATTGCTTGCCATTTTCTCATCAGGTGATTTAACATTTATCAATAGTCAGTGTTATCCACAGCCACATTCTTTTCTGATCCCATTGTCTCACTAGGAAAGGATTGCATTATAGTTAGCATCTTGTATGCCTTGGTCTTTTTTTGATCTATGTTATACCTTATTGCATATTTTTTTGATGTAGTATATATTATGCCTTATTGGATAACGATCGATGGGTCAATCCTATAGAGAGCTTGCTTCTTTTGATATTACTTTTGAAATCTGTCTCAGATGAACTATAGCTTGATCGAACCCGGTTAATGCTAAAACTTTTTTTCTTGTTGGCTTAAGTGGTTGATTGAAATCTTGTTTACATATCGTTTTACTCTGTCACATGTTATGTTTCATGTTGTTGAATTTGAAATCACCAGTACTACAAAATCATCCTAGGCTGGTTCAATGGTTAAACGCTCAATTATAAACTTAAGTATCTTTGAAGACATGAATTTTGACCACAACACCTACCCTGGATCTCAAGTATTGGTCAAGTCTTCAGATACCCTGCGATGTTATTGGTCATGTTTTTTAGAGAACAAATGTTGTATGATTAGATAGTTTGGCCTATGAATATGAAACTTAAGGTTCAAATATAGAATGGTAGTAAAAAAATGTGTTTAGTTATACTTTTGAGATGAATTGAGGGTTTTTAGGAGGGGAAGCTTATCATTATCCTAGTCTTTATGATTCTGAAGTTTTGGTGATAACTGGCAGTACGACTATGATTATTGATGTGGATCAATGGGGGGGGGGGGGG